AATAACTAGTTATAATGTATATTAAATATAAATGTAAATTATAAAATTAAATTAAATAAAAAAATTATAATTTTTGATTTAATAAAAAATATATTTTAATAATTTTTAGATGTATTTATTATGTAAATTGAAAGTAGCGAGCTACCGCTACTAAAAAAAGTAGCGAGCTACAACAACACTGGTATCTAGATCAATTTAAAAAGTATGTTTTAAAACAACTCCGTTATTTAAATAAAAAAAATTAAATTAAGAATTTTAATCCCTTTATGGTCTCAAAACCTATTAGTTCAGCCTAAGTTTCTAAGGATTAAACGACGGAAATACCCAGATTCCAGGATCCTAAGGAAATATTAAATAACTTAACATTCATAAAACTAGTAAAAACAAGTTTCGTTTGCCGGGATTAAATGAGCTTCATCCCTATAAAGTATTATTATCTAGTAAAAAAAATTAATTTTTTAAATAAAAAATATATACTTATCCGCAAGATGGCGTAAATTAACTTTAAACTTTGAAATATATTATTTTTATACCTAATTTTTTTTTATAAATATTTATATTCATTCTAAATCTTTCTTTTTCACCTTTGTAAACTCAGGGAAAGATGCCAAAAACGAGTTAATATTCTTAGTTTCGATGTAATAGTAATAAGACTGTAGGGTGGCCTAAATCTTTGGATGGAGTAATATTTTAACAATAAATATAATTGTTCTACAAACTACCTATATCCACCCCCCCCTCAACCTTCTCCTCGCCCTTCCATCTCCTTTTTTGCTAAGAACTTTATCCGCTTATTTAGTCTAATTATTATTTTTAAAAAAAATTTGCTAGTATTTTTTTACCCATCCATCCATTTTATTTTGTATTAAATTAATTAATTAGAGAATTGTTCTTAATTTTTATTAATTATTTATAAATTTTATTTTACTTAACATTAATATATATATATACACTATTTAGTAGAGATGTTGTAAATATTTTAAATTTTTATATAATTATTTAATTGTTACATTTGATAAGGAATTGGTTCATGAATTCCGACAAATAACATCTGTTTGTGTGACCTGATTCATTGTTATTTAATTTCTTGTTCCTTCTTTCTGAGATTATCATTAATATCCTATTTAAAGTTAATCGAGAAATTTGAATTTCACAATTTTCTACCAAATCCAATTCTATCTATTATACTTGCTGCAAAATTTGGGCCATGATTAGCTAGAAGCGGTTTTAAGTGTCAATCTCGGCATGCTATCAGTAAATGAGTTGAGGGTGACGATAATGTATAAATTAGCCACGTCGACATTATGTGTGCTGATTTAAAATATAATTTGGCATTGATTAAATAAGAAAAAAGGAAATGTAGTGTTAATTTGACAAAGGCAATTATTGTATGGGTTATATAAGTTATTTCTTATCACAGTTATAACTATTTTACCCTCTAAACAACATGGAACATCACTTGGTCCCTTTTTACCGCTGATTAGAATCTGCCACGTCTAAGTAATAATTTCTCCTGTAATCGATTTGTAGAGTTACCCGATTGCTATAATATATTTTGTAAACGATATGGTGTTAAACTGATTTTTTTTAAATTTGTTATAACTCTAATAATCGCACGATCGGCAATGATCTGAAAACGCGGAGTGGTTAACTTATTTTTGGGGCGTTTTTGATGTGGCTAAAATCATACGCTACAAATGTAGCGTTTTAAATGAAGTATTTTGAAGTATTTTTAACAATCGTTATAGTATGTGATCATTATTCATCAATATGAAGAATGTTTACCATCAGTCAATTTATTATTGAAAAGATTTATTTCCCCGAGGAAAAGTAAAGTATAGGACGTTTATGAAATGGCAGATATTATCGGACGTCAACCCTGGGTTATGGTCAAAATAAATACACTAGACTCTCAACCTAACAAAAAGGAGGAGCCTATGATTTAAAAAAAAAAATTCAACAAAGCAAAAATATAAATCCAATTTAAAAGAAAATAAGGATGGCTAAGCTGTTTTAGAGCTGGCCAAGATGGTTTAAAATCACTTAAATTTCAATCAATAAGAAACAAAAACTTATGTGACGATAATTACTGCAATAGCCGAAACGACATCTTAATTATTTATATACAGATATTGCATTACAAACTATACTCTTTTTTATTTGATTCAAAAAAATATCTATAAGAATAAAACGATGTAGAAGAACAATAGTGTTAAATTTTCTAGGTCCTAGAGAAGAGAAGAGAAGAGAAGATAAGATAAGAGAAGAGAAGAGAAGAGAAGAGAAGAGAAGAGAAGAGAAGAGAAGAGAAGAGAGAGAAGAAGAGAAGAGAAGAGAAGAGAAGAGAAGAGAAGAGAAGAGAATAGAAGAGAAGAGAAGAGAAGAGAAGAGAAGAGAAGAGAAGAGAAGAGAAGAGAAGAGAAGAGAAGAGAAGAGAAGAGAAGAGAAGAGAAGAGAAGAGAAGAGAAGAGAAGAGAAGAGAAGAGAAGAGAAGAGAAGAGAAGAGAAGAGAAGAGAAGAGAAGAGAGCAGTTCTTTCTTTCTTTCTTTCTTTCTTTCTTTCTTTCTTTCTTTCTTTCTTTCTTTCTTTCTTTCTTTCTTTCTTTCTTTCTTTCTTTCTTTCTTTCTTTCTTTCTTTCTTTCTTTCTTTCTTTCTTTCTTTCTTTCTTTCTTTCTTTCTTTCTTTCTTTCTTTCTATATTATATAAGGAGTAAACATATTCTTTAAGATTTATATTTAATTATCTAAATAATTAATATCGGTATCTTACAAATTCATTCACTAATAAACTAAGAACTTCCAAATAGCCAAGATTTATAAATATACTTAATTAATAATCTTTCTTGTATAAAAATAGGAGTCTAATATATTTGGCTTAATATTTTTTTTAAAAAACCTTAAATTAAGGCTTCTACTCCAAGCAAAGGAGATGGGAAACATATACAATATATTTAGCGTGATATAATTTATTTGATACATCCACAAATTTAATATTATTAATTTTATATTTTTTTAAAAAAATAATATACAATCCTCCTTTAGTTTAATGTTTTATTTATCACCGAGGAAAAAAAATTAATATTATTTGTTATAATTTTTTTTTTTTTTGAAAATTGGTTAAATTCTCCCGCTTTTTTGTTTTGAATGGATCTAGTGCAACCCTGGTTATCAATCTACTAAGGTACGTATATACTTTTTTCTTACCGTTCTAAAAGTATCGGTACTTTTCCGATACAATTTTTACTAGAAAAAAAAAACGTTATGAAGGAAGGAATGACTTCTATGACAAAAATTGACCCTCAGTTATAAGCTAGAGGCTTTTTATATATAAATAATATAACTTGAACTTATATTTATTATATGGTCTACTTTCGGATACGGGTATTTTATATATATATTTTAATATATAGAAGAGAAGAGAAGAGAAGAGAAGAGAAGAGAAGAGAAGAGAAGAGAAGAGAAGAGTTGAGAAGAAAAGATTTTTGATATTTTTTAAAAAAAAAAATCAATTAAAATCGAGCTTTATTTTTTTTACAAAATTAAGAATATAAAATTTTAAGATATAATATTATAAAGTTTGTTAACATAAATATGACCGAAGCCGGGCAAAAGCGGCTTGAAGGCAGGCGAATGGATGGCATGAGGTTTGTTTAATTTTTATATATATTAATTTAATATTAGATATGTATTCGTCTTTGTTTAAGGCGTTTCGCCCTTTTTTGTATTTTTGAAAGCAGCAGAGGTATGCTTGATTCGTTTCACGTCCATCAAATTGGGTAAAAGGTGATATATGAGGGCTTATTTCAAATGACAACTGCACTTACCTGTGTGCACATAAAAACTAGTTTCTGCTTCAACGCTTATAGGAATTAAAAAAGATAGTGAAAAGAGCGCAAATCTCTTTAAATTTTTATTTTAATATTTGGCATGGGTCTGGAAAAGTTCAATTTAACTTTTATTGAATTAATGAGTTTATGTGAAATTATGCTTAGATGCGTTTTGTTTTATATAAAACATCAGATATATTATTTATTTTATTTATAACTTTTTACATATTTTATATGTACTTTTATTTTGACAAAACAATTTCTTTTACAGATGTATTAATTTGAAAGAGCTGATTGTTTTTTAAAATTTATTTAATAAGAATTGTATTAATAAAAGAACATATATCAAACTATTCTCTTTTCTGATAATTAATTTATTTAAAAAATGATTATTCCTATTAGAATAGTAAAATTTAAAAAATTTATATTTATTTTTGATCTGTGGTTTGTTATCTTAAACATTTAGAGATACGTGCTTGCCACAATATCTCAGTAATGGTAAATAAAACTCATTGCATTATTTTAGTATAATGTTTAGCATCATGAATATGTGTTTACTGATAGAATCTCTTACCCTAAATAATTATATTTAAAGGGATAGCAGAAAGTAATCTATAAATTGTTCTATTTAGAAAATAATGTCTATGATTGTGTTCAATATATAGATTTAATCGATGATTAATAAAATTGTATTATAATTGTCTATAATAAAAGTTTAATTTTTACAGCAATACATATTTCATCTAAAATTTTATTAAATAATCCCCCAATAAATTTATCCTACTCTAGTCTACCCCCCTTCAAAAGACTACTCCCTCAAAAAAATTAGATGCTGTTCCCACCCCACCGCTCACTTAAGGGAAAATTTATATATAAACTTTCTTTTTGTTAAATAATAATATATACTAAATTGATTTATATAATTTATTTTTTTGTTAAAATAATATTCAAATGTTTTATTATATACAATTAATTTTACCAAATTTTATTTATATATATACTTATAAATTGTGATAAACTTTATTATTATTTTATTACTTATATTGATATCTTCAATTTTTGTACAATAAATTATTTTTCTCTATAATATAATATAGTTAAATTAAAATTATTTAATTATATAAAAATTGATATTGAAAATAACATTTTTTAAATTAGATATAGTTAAATAAATATTTAATTCTATATTTTAAATTAACAGACACTACATACCATATAATCACATGCGGTAATACAATTTTTCTATCGACTACAATTAGAGGCGGCTAATTCTTAAATTCGCATATATGATGACATCTGAACGTAAAAAGCCTGAAATTGAACTATTCATTAAGGTTAATTATATTTAATATATTTAAACATAAACTACCAATATTTTTATAGATATATTTGAATAAAATTTAAAAAATTTATATATATAATATGTAATTTACCCTTTTCTTATATTAGTAAATGCTTATATTATTGAACCTAATAAACTATTATTACAAAACCCTGTAGTTATAATATAAATATTCTAATTAGATTTTTTTTTAAATATACTAAAAATTTTTTTCCCAATTATAATTAAAATACTATTGTAATTTTTTTTTATTTGGCATTTTTATTCTGGCATTTCAATTGTTTTATTTATCATTTTTTACTCTATTAATTGCAATAATTTTTTTTTTATCTCATTAATACAGACAATGCTTCAATAAAAATATTCAAGAATTTTTTTAAAAATATTATTTTTTTGAAATTATGAATGTATAATAACCTGGAGGGATCAATTTATATATCTTATCATTTTTATTATCCCATTTAATTGACTTATTCATTATAAACTCATAGTATATTTTTTTTTAGCTTTTAATTCATTTGAATTTAAACAAAACTCACGATAGATTACTCATTTATCTTAGAATTAATCTTGCCCAAGATAACCCATTTTATATTGATATATATATATATCATTTATTTAGCAATTACATTACTTTAAATATAACTAATTGTTTATATATAATTTTTTTTTTTTAAATTTCAAATTTGTATATATTGCAAGCTACTTTATAAATTATTTATGTATCATTTTAATATAATTTATTTATTATTCTCTTTTAAAAATTTCCTTTGATTAAAATTTTGTAAATCACAAAATAATTTTGTATAAGGGCATGACTAAAATACGTGCCCCTATCAAAGAAGCTTAATTTAAATTATGTTATTACAGAATCGTATTTAGCTTTAATTTTTATTTAAAACAAATATGACATAGGAAAATTTTTAAAAAATTATTTTATTACAGACTCTCAAAGAAGCTTAATATATAAAAAATTAATGTAGAATCATAACTTATTAAAAGGAATTAAAAAATGTTAATACTAAGTTTATAAATTATTTATAACTTATTGAGATTTTGAAACACTTAATTTCATCTTGACTAAATTTTTTTTAAAATTTTATGTTGAAAACATTTTCTAACTCATCTTATGAAACTAAATACGATTCTGTCTAATATAATTTAAATTAAGCTTTTTTGATAGGGGGCGCTTATTTTAGTCATGCCCTTAAAAAAATTGCCTTATTAATAAAAAAAATTTGTATTTAACTTTAAACAAATCAAATATTTTCAAAAATTGGTATCTGAAAAATATAATCTTTAAAATATTACTATCAATTAATTTTATTTAGTTGTGATTGTTTAAATTTTTGTTATAGTTACTCTAGTAAATGTATTTTGTATCCAAAGTATTTCCATAGATTGCCACTTAGGTGACATTGATAATAAAGACAAGGCATAAGAGACATTAAACATTAATATTGGCTTTATTTCAAAGCTTAGCCAACATATTTTTAAATATATTGCTTGAATGTTTTGATGGTATTTGTGTAAGTTGAATATAATTTATATTTCTTCATACTGAATCATTTAAATGTCATTCTCAACTATGGTTCTTAAAAAGGCCAATTTGGGTTGATTTTAAAAAATGACCCAAGTAAGATTGTAGCCAAAATAATATTATGGAAGCCAGGAGATTTTGATCATAGATAGCAGAAGGGTTTTATGTTTTATTTATTGCGATATATAAAGTAATCAGATACATTGTTGTTAGATTCCAAAAAAATGCATCTAGCTATATCACAAAAATGTAACTGGATATATTAGTTACATATTTATTTCCCATACAAAATTATTATATATATTATATTTTAAAATATTTATGATGTAGAAAAAAATATTATAAATTATCATATCGTATCGCAATATTTTGTTTTTTCGCAACAATTTCTGTTCTAGTAAATTTATACGTCACATTTTGGCCAAAAAGTTAAATTAGGCTAATTGACTAAAAAAAATGAAAAAATTTTATAATAATTCTCAAAATATAGGGGGGGGGAGTATATAAAAAATATTTTAGTCACATAAATTAAAAATAAAAATTTGCTACAAAAAAAATGATTCATTATTTTAAAAAAAATTAAGAAAATGTAATAAGGTAACCTGAGGTATAAAATAAACTTAATAAGGAATTTTAAAATGTATCTTTATTAACATGCCTGTCATTTCATAGGCATAGACAGGGATTTTCGTAGGGGGTGGGGTTAAAGAAATAAAATTTTGGAGGGTCGTTTTTTTGCCCCTAATTTTTTTTGGATAATTTGGGGTATTATAATCAACTTAATGACGTATTCTAAAAATTCAGCATTATCTATTAATAGCTTATTTCGTAGACGCCTATTCTGGAGATTTGGGGGGAAGGGAAGAAAACTTTTGGGGGGTCGGTTTTTTCGCCAGCTGATTTTTTTTGGACTGTTTTAGAACAGCCATTTTTGAAGGCTCTTTGCTTGATTACGTTTTTTGTTTAAAAAAGCATTTTTTATTGCCATTATTGTAAGAAAAATTATTTACTTCTTTAGTACCTTTTTTTTAACAAAAATATAATGATACGGTTTATGAAATATTATATTCATTTATTTTAGGGGGGGGGGGTGTAGGGGGATGGATGAAGGTGTTAGGAGTGTTTGGTATAATTTTTTTATTTGATTAAAATTATATTTACTAACCCCCCACCCCCTTCCGGTTCGCAACGTAATCCCCTCGTAAAATGTAAATAGTATATAATTTTGAACTTGTTGTTTACTATTTTAAATTTATCGCCATTTTTAAAAATTGAAACCTATTTTTGCGATATTGGTGATATAAACATTCAGGGTTAGGTTCAGAATACCTAATCTCGCAATTCGGCTCAAGCCAATGGCGGGCGGAGAAAAAGATCTGGCTAAGCCTTGGCAACGCGTTGATATCCCCTCCCCGCTTTCCCCATTTATTTAGGGTAAAACCTCGGGGACTAATATGGGACCCATATCCAAAAAGATATTTTTTCCCCCTTCTTTCAACAGCCCGATGCTGAGTATGGTAACAAGCCGACGCGAAAACTACAAAATGCCAATGGCGATATTATCACCCAGGCAAATAAGCGGGAATCAAAATTTGCCGAATATTCTCTTCACGCCATTTACATTCCCACCCCCAGCCTCACGTTTTCTACCTTTATTCGAATAAATATATCTTCCTCGCAACTTCCACTACCCCTTAACGATCTTAAACCCCCCCCCCCTCCACTATCTTGCTCCATGTTACTGCTCGCAAGGTTTTAAAATCGTATATATAGCCACTTAGAATCCTGGCTACCAAAAAAAAGATGACTGCTCTCCCGTCTTTTCTTCGTAAAAAAATTATTTCCGCTTCCGATTAATCGCGACTTAATTTTTTTAAAAAAAAACATTATTTTATAACTAACGCACGCATTTCTAATTTCTCACCTCACCCCAAAAAAAACAAGGTTACGTTCTCGTCGCGGAAATCGGTACACGCCTTAACAAAAAGGTTACCTTACCACTTAAAAATCTATTCATTCAATTTTCGAATCGAATAATTATATTATTTCGTATTGATACTATCCGAAAATTAAATTCTTTAAATATAAAATATAAAAATGGAAAAACTCGAATCGAATAGATACTATATTGCCGATATTCAATCGATATCGGCCCAATACCTCTTCCGATATTGTTCATTATACATATTTTAATTTATTTATTATCCAAAACATAAGTCATTTAAAAATAATGATATACTTATTAGTGATCTGCATCGGGCCAAATTTTTCAAACCAGGCCATGAATGCCGGCCCGAACCCGGATTTAAAAAAATTTACCGACCCGGCCCGGCCCGAATTTATTTAAATATAGAAATTAATTTTATTATTACTGACTGACATGTTATATGTCGTTTAAGTTTCAATAAATAAAATCAAATATTTTTATTTTACATAAAAAATTCAATATATAAAATTATATAAAATTGATAACAGTTATATAGTAAAAAATCGTTTAGCAATTTAGAATCCCATCTACTCTATTCATGATAAATATGAACTTGCTACAAATTCTTAAAGTAATTTATGAATTTCTTTTACAAAATAAATTATTTTTTATTATTATATTTTTATAACATTTTTCAAATAATTTTAAGTTTTTAATTTATATTATCATTTACTTATCCTATAAAATATATTCAATTACAAAGTAATAATTTCGGCTAATTTGGTAATATTTGTACCAACTAATAAAACATTAAAATTATTAAGTTAGGTTTAATATAAAATCTATTGTAATAATTATTTATAATTTTGTAAAATCAAAATATTTGGCTATACGAGTTAATATATTAAATAAATGATAAAATTTATCATCAATTAAAGAAATCAATTTAATTCATAAATAATAAATTTTCTATTTGATTAATTGTATATCACTTCAATTTATATAGGATAGTTTCTTAATTTATTCATAAATTTTATTCTCTTAAATATTAATAAATCAAAAACCCGCTGGCCCGGCCCTAAACCCGGCTCGAGTACTCGGGCCGGATATTAAAAATAATTTGCAATATATTCTTCCGGGTCGGGCCGGAAAGATCCGGGCCCGGCCAGGACGTGCAAATGGTACCTCTGCAGGTCTCACATAAAAAAAATTTTAAGACACCATTTTTATCTGATCTAATGCCGATGACCGATATCTCAAAAAATAATATAGACGCATTTTTCTAGAACTTACCATTCCTCCCCGTTGCCATTAACCCCGGGTCTGTTTTTTTTTTAAAAATTTCTTAACCGTTTAACCTACTATATAAGTAAATTGTAAATCAATCTCTTTATGCCCCCTTCTATCCCAGCCGCCATCTTTCCCCATATTCTTTCTATCTTATTAACTTATATTAACTCTTTTCTCTTATCTCTCCAAGAAATTTTTTTTTTTCATCTCCTTTTCAAATAATTTTAATCTTTTA